AGCTTCAGCACAGCGTTGCTTGCGTGTCCTGGGTCATACCTACCCATTACAGAAAAGTTGATATTTGTGATACATATCACTTCGACGTGCATAGTGGGAGCAAATAACAAATGGATTACAGTACGACAATCTCATAAGCACGTGTGACATCATTGGATGGTGTCACTCGTGTCTTCTGTACTGATCATTGCAAAATGTTGTTCACATGTACTAATTAGTACATGTACTAATTATGATTGGAAATGTACATGTGAACAACATTTTCAATCACTCTGTACTAATCAGTACTAATCAGTACTGATTAGTACAGAGTGATTGGCCACGTGATGGTTTCTACTTTGACATCTAAAGTCCGATAAAAATGATGTGCTTTACCGACTGGAGTGAGTGATGCGAGCTAAAGACTTTGAGAGGAAGACTTCAGCCTCAAATTTTTCAAGGTTCAACCTCAGTGTACACAAAGTTTTATATAGAGAGCTCGTTAGATTTACTTCTGCATGTGTAAGTTTTATACATATAACCTCTTGGAGCTCTAGTGGTGTCAAATATGTAGCTTTAGTAGAACTCGGCTAGTTCATGTTTTTTTGCCTCGCGACTAAGTCTAGCGCCAGGCACTTTTCATCTTTCCTTCGTTGACTTCAGCCACAGATAGTGCTGATTAACATGTAATGTCTTTTCTATAATGAAACGTTCTCTAAGGGAATAAAAGAGCACAAGATTCGCACGAAACTCACAAAAGCAGTGAGATCACATAAGCTAGAAATCTGTTGTTTCTTCTTTGTCTATATAACTGCCAGTTCTTCTTCTCTGTATAGAGTTTGTCGACGTTTGCTTAGGTGGAACTATTGAATTGATCTCTTGAGCATTATATGACAAAATACAAAGCGAATTTGAATGGTCCTAAGTTTGCAAGATGTAGCTGCTACCTCTAGGCCTGTTACTGGATCTCCTATCGTCTGCGTTCGTTGCTCTATTACCTATTTTCTCCATCGTAGACTGACGGACAACTGCAGCAGATGCATCAATGTTGGCTTTACGGAACCGAAAGTTGGCGATACTAGACTTCGTAAAATGCTATCTACTAGCACAGCTTTTACATCAGACAGATTGCCGGACACTTCGAAGATATGCTCCATCACCCGATAGACGCACAGCTTCTTACCGGTGTTTGTTGCTTTTAGGATGGGGTACCTCCATTGGAAAACACGTACGATCCGAGTGACGCTATGAGTCGCCGATCGACATCCACGAATGAGTCCTTTACGAAGAAGACGTTGCGGGTTATCCGTGAATTTTGTTGCCCTGAAAAATATCTTTCGTAATTTGCTGTCTGTAATATTTCAAATGCCAATCAGGAAATTAGCCATTAGAAAAACAAACTTTTTTAATTGCTACATCTGAAAAGTTAAGGGCATGTTTAAGAGCGAGGTGAAGGTTGCGTACCAAGGCATTCCCGGCGCATACTCAGAGAAAGCGACGCGTCAGCTTTTAGGGCCATCAGCTAAAATCGTGGCCATAGGCTACCCGTCATTTGATGAGGCTTTCTTGGCTGTTCAACGCGAGGACACTGACTTTGGTGTGCTGCCTATCGAAAATTCCTTAGGTGGCAGTATCCACGCCAATTACGACCTATTACTCAAGTTTGAGCTGCATATCGTAGGTGAGTATGATTTACGAGTCGAGCACTCGTTACTTGCATTGCCGGGCGTCAAAAAAGACGAGATTAAGACGGTCATCAGTCATCCACAGGCACTGGCTCAGTGCGCTCACACCATCGCAGCCATGGGTGCCAAGCCGCGTGCCGAGTACGATACAGCTGGAAGTGCAAAGATGTTGGCCGATCACCAATGGTCAGACACGGCTGCTGTAGCCAGTGATCTGGCGGCTGAATATTACGGTCTCGAGGTACTTCAGCGAAACATCGAGGACGATGCTGGCAACTTTACCCGCTTTCTGCTCTTAAGCAAAAAAGAAGATTTGGGTCTTCACGCTAAAATGCAGACAGAGTTCAAAACGTCGCTCGTCTTCTCGTTCATGGACAGTAATGAAAAAGGTCAATTGTATAAAGCACTCTCAGCTTTTTCATTACGTGATATCGACATGTCGAAAATTGAAAGTAGACCGTGGGGACCTACGGCTGAACAGCAATACCAAGACAAGATTCAGTCGGAACATATGACCTTATCAGCCGAAAATGTGCGTAGAAAATATAGTTATCTGTTCTATGTTGATTTGATTGGCCACAAGACGGATGAGAAGATCATGAATGCATTGCGTCACTTGCGCGAGTTTTGTAAATTTGTGCGCGTTCTGGGGTCGTATCCCACCAAAGGAAAGTTACTGGGTGATGTACGCAAAACCCTGGAAGGTGTTGGTGCGTACGAAATTACAGCGTCGCCAGTTTTTGTACCGCAAGAAAACAAACCTGTACGTTTGAAAATTGGTATCTACGGCTTCGGAAACTTTGGTCAGTTTTTGGCCAAAACCATGGCTAAGTCACATGAAGTGCGTGCGACCTCAAGAACGGACTATTCGACGACTGCGGCACAGCTTGGATGCCATTATTTTTCGTCCACGAACCAGCTTGAGAATTTTTTCAATGGTTTGGACATTCTTCTTGTCTGCGTCAGCATCCTGTCGTTTGAGAGTGTCGTGAATAAGCTTCCGAGAGACTTGTTGGACAATCTTGTAATTGTCGATGTGTTGTCGGTCAAGACGCACCCAAAACAAATTCTACTTCGGAATCTTCCTCAGAGTACGAGTATTTTATGTACGCATCCGATGTTTGGTCCAGAAAGCGGTAAATATTCGTGGCGAGGTCTGCCAATGATGTACGAAAAAGTACGAGTCTTATCTAGCGAACACAATCATGTAATGGATACTTTCTTGCGTATTTTCGAGATGGAGCAATGTCGGATGCTGGAAATGACGTGCGAATCGCACGACGAATATGCTGCTAGTAGTCAATTTTTGACTCATTTGACTGGTCGTGTTCTCAACGTCCAGGGTGTAAGAAACACGCCGATTGACACCCGGGGTTTTAAGAACCTTGTGCGTCTAGTTGACGACACATGCAAAGACAGTTTTGATTTGTTTCAAGGATTGTACAAGTTCAATCCTAATTCTGAGCAACAAATTCGAAAGTTTCGCGAGTCATTAGACGAAGTGACGCAGAAACTTGTTACCGAACCAGCATATTCACCTTCCGCTCGCTCAGACGCGACGATGATTGAAAAGTATCCTCAAAATCCATTGCTTGGCAAGATTGCGGCTTCGAAGACGGTCGTGATTCATGGCATGGCGAAGCAATTAGAAGCCGAAGGCAAACAAGTGTGGTCATTATGTGTTGGCGAGCCCGATTTTGCTCCTGCAGAGCGTGTGTTAAAAGCAGGTATGACGGCTTTGGAGCAAGGTCACGTTAAGTATACCGATGTAAAGGGCACAGCAGAGCTTCGGACTTTGATCTCTCAATACTTGTTGACGTGCAAAGGTCTAAAATACGATCCACTGACAGAGATTTTAGTTTCCAATGGTGCCAAACAGACCGTGTACCAAGCTTTACTGACAATCACAAAACCGGGAGAACAAATTTTGATTCCAGCGCCGTATTGGGTGAGTTATCCCGAAATGGTAAAATTGACGGGTGGTGAGCCTGTGATTCTTCAGACGAATTTATCTGAAAATTATCTAATTGATCCACAAGAGCTGGAAAAGACACTATCGTCTAACCCCCGCATTAAGGCGGTGATGATGTGTAACCCGAGTAATCCTGCTGGTACGATGCATTCACCGGCACAGCTTGAAAGCATCGCTGTAGTTCTTCGAAAGCCTGAGTTTCGACACATTTTAGTGATTGCTGACGAGATTTATGAGCAGTTGGTGTACCAAGATGAAGGAGAGATTAAGCGTGAGCATCAAAGCTTTGCAACGTTACCAGACATGTACGAACGCACACTGACGGTAAACGGTTTCTCTAAGTCGCATGCGATGCCGGGACTACGTATCGGCTACTTGGCTGCACCCAAATACTTCGTCCAAGTGTGTACGAAATTGCAGGGTCAGCTGACGTCATGTGCGAGCTCAGTAGGTCAAGCTGCTGCTGTAGAGGCTATGAGATTTGAGCTCGAGTGCGTGTCTCAGAACAAAGAGCGTATGACCGAGACTTTGGCAATTATGGACGAGAAACGTCGATACGTGATTAAGCGGCTTCAAGAGATTCCGCTTTTGAAATACGCACACCCGACGTCAGCCTTTTACGTGTTTTTAGATTTGTCGTCGTACTTTGAAAATCGACAAGGTTTTACTGCGGATCGGAGTGAGGTGATCAAGGACGCTGATGACTATTGCGAATACCTGCTTCGTCATTACCATGTCGCATTGGTACCTGGCTCAGCGTTCGGGGTGAAAAATGGTCTTCGCATCTCATACGCTTCTTCGATGGAGACGATTAAGCACGCAATGGATGGTTTAAAGCAGTCGCTTGGAGCTTTAACGTTTGAATGAGTACTTGGCTTCTGTAGAAGAGAAAACAGAGCATGCGCAGTAAGAGCGCGAGGCTGAATTTAGGAAGACGGTAATTTATGCAGATAAGTTGCCAGCAAATATCCTTATTCTTGCAGCAAGTTTTCCACGATATCACTTTTCTCGTCTCGAATATATTGTGCATGTTCTTGCTCTTGCAGCTTCACATTATGTCCTAACATGTCATCCAAGATGACGGGTATAGAGGAATAATAACAGAGACTACCGGGACGTACTTGGACACGCATGCCTGAAATCAATTTGAAGGCACTTTTCGAACTTGACTGTTTTTGCAGGTATAACAATTTCAAACCGTTTTGAGAAGTGTTTACTGAGTAAGATCAAGCTTTTCGTTGAATGGTGCATTCAAGCAAGGCGACATTAATGTCATTTTCACCAAAACATTGCCATACTCTGCGTCTTCTAAAGAAAACCTGGCTCAATAACTAATCGCCTTGCATACTGCATCTCAATCGCGATTTACTTTACTCTAGGTGAATCAGCACTCTTTGATAAGCGATTCTTTACGATGTCTTTATAGCCATTTTTGAGCTCAGGTTTCTGGCTACGTTGGGAACATAGTGACTACCAGGCTTAGTGTATGGGGGCATCTGAAAATAGTTGGTTATTCATGGAAACAGCAACTCATATTCCGAGCAGACCTTTGAACTCCATTGAAGACATGCCATACCCAACGACACTTTGTTCTGATGACCTCAAGCGTATGAAAGCGAGCGTGTCGCCCCCTGTTCAAAGCGACCGCGAGGCGAAACGTCTGGCAATCAAACTTAAATCGGTGCAAAGGACATCAACATGGCCGAATACGTTGGAGGCTATGCGTTTGAAGAAAGATCGTTGGAAAAAGGACAAGGAAGAACATTTGGAAGAACTACGAAAAAAAGTTGACGAAGAGGAAATGCGATTACAATGTGAGGCACAATCCAAGCAGATTGAACACGCGAATTGGCTATTATACGAACAGACCGACCGCATGAAAACGTTGAGAAGTAAACAACTTTTAGCCGACGTTGTTCACGTAAGTTTTGGTTGTTGTGATTTCTTTGCTTTTATGCCTTGTTCTTACATTCACGTAATGATAGCATCGCACGCTTCAACTTGAAGAAAAGAAAATGCTTAAAGATCAGGATGATCTCACGAATGACTTTTATGATCAACAAATGCTTTCCAAAGCAATCAAGGATGAAGAAGAAGAACAACGTCTGAGAAAGAAGCGACTTGAAGATAACGCACGTCTTGCAGCTAATCAGAAACAACAGCTAGAGGAGTATAAGCAGCGTTATATCAACGAACTTCGAGAGGTATATTATATATATGCCAGGTGAAGGCTGCATCAGTATTATCTTTGATCTAAGCTTTGTTTGCTTATAGGAAAAACTAGATGGTGAGCGAATGAAAGAGCAGGCTGAACAGGATTTTTTGAATGAAATTGAAAAAGAACGACAGCGAAAGCTGCGTCAGAAGCAAGCTAGTGAGGATACGTTACTAGCAAATGAACGGTTGTTAGCGTATCGAGAGATGCAGAAGCAAAAGGAGCGTCTTGAAGATGCGAAACGAGAGGAAGAAGAACGTAAAAAACAATTGCGCGATGCAAAGCGCATGAATTTGCAGCGTCAAAAGAAAGAGGATACACAAGCTCGTAAACAGCGGATGATTGATCTCGCGACGAAAAATCTGGTCAAACTGGAGCAGAAGAATGATGAACGACTGCTGAATCAATGTACCGAAGTACGTGTGAAGGAAGATAAACTGCTAAAAGAACGAGCTGATCGTCGTGCAGCGGAGAAAACGGCCATTGCTTGTAGTCGTCGTCAGCAGCTTGAATGGAAACAGAGTGAAAAGGAGCGCGAGGCTCAAGATGCTCTGGAGTGTGTCATACAGTGGGAGCAATTTGGAAGACGGATTGAGTTGCAGTCAAAGCAAGAGGAACAAGACCAGCGACAAGAGAACCTTCGACGTGCAATCGCACAAAAGCAACAAGCGGATGCTCGACGAAAAATTCAGTTGGATGAACGTGCTGCTGAACTTGAAAATGATCGAAAGGCGCGTTGTGTTTTAGAACATGAACAGGATCGTTTTAAATCTGTGGCTCAACAAGCACTGAACGAGGCTCGCGAACGTGGGATAACTAATGTATTTCCTATTGAAAAAGCACTTGTAGAAAAACGGATTGATTTGCTCCATGCATCAGGTTTTCGCGTATAGCTTTCAATCTCAACCGATAGTGATCATTCATACACACTCCTTTTGTAATATCATATACTTTACGACACGACATTTTGCAATGCCAAGACTTGTTGTTCGGCTAGACGAATGCCTTCTTTCCGTAAATAATTTACAATAATGCTAATTTGCATCACTTGAAGCTGTGCATTGATAAAAGTAATGAGAAGGAGGTTGAAATTAAACATACAATGTGATAAGCTACGGACACTTACTCGCTCGATGTATATAATGCGCTTCAATTCGTTCGCGCACGTGATGATTTCGGCTTTGTTTGCATCATCAATAATATCAACCTCACTCTTTTCAATAGAAGTTAGTAACGGTGCAAGCTGATCGCGTAGTACTTGTAACATTTGAGGAAACGATTGATTGCGTGCAAAGTCTTCCCACCGCTGAAGTTCACTCGCTTTAACGACGTACGGCTTACCAACCTCCTGTTTTGTCTTTAAAAGGGCTTCACGTCGTTTATACTCTAGATAACTCTTATTAAACTGAGATCCAACCAATGTCAAAGGCATAGCAGTGTAACAAGCTCCAAAAATCATCGCAACAACAGCAACGAGCTTCCCCGAGCTCGTGACAGGTTCCATGTCGCCGTAGCCGACGGTCGCCAAAGTTACAATTACAAACCAAAAGGCTGAAAAAAAGTCATCGAAGTTTGATAGTTCACCTTTAAAAGTGACAAGAAATCGTTTTCCAAGTACTGAACCCTCAAGCTCAGCAGGGAAAGTCATATTGTGCTCACCAACAATACACTCCTGACCGTAAAAACATTCTTGACCTTTTTCCAGCTCAAACATGATAAACGATAAAATTGTTGTGACAACCATCAGCATAAAGTATGGAATTGTCAGACGTGCCGAAGTCTTGGAAATCGATTCCCACAAGACTTTTGTGACTGGAATGCTTTGCTGAATTTTAAAAATACGAGACAAGCGAAGCAGACGTAAGAATGTGAGAAAGTCTTGCGAAGCGGGTGGAATGACGTAAATGGGCGTCACACCATAAACAAACCGACGTCCTTCCAGTACGAAAAACGGTGCAAAAGATACCATCTCAATAAAGACAAGAGGATTTTTAAAGTATGTTCGATATTCTTCGCACACAAATAACGCGGCTGCAAACTCAAAAAGGTACGTAAGTGTGAAAATATACTCCATCGCAACATAAGCATTACCAAACTCGAAAAAAGTCACGTGTCTATTGTCGCATTCCCACTTTTTACATACACTCAACCGACGATCGAGTTTCTGAAGGTTTTTGTCAGGTCGAAATGGAAGAATAAACTCAAGTTGAGTTCGATGTGAGCCGTTCAAAGCCAATTTATTCAGCAGCACTTTATCGGATCCATTACAAGAGAGTCGGTCATCGACTGTACTACTACCAAAATTGCCTGGATAACCGTAACAGCTTGAGTCGACAACTTTTTCAGTATCAGAGCAGCCAAATTGAAGACGAACTTTTGGGTTGTCGACACTAAAACATCCAGGATCATTGCCACCAATTTCGAGATCTTGCACATTCTCGCAATATTGCTTCACCTTGCGCTCACATAAGAAAGTCTGTTCACCATACGTTTGCAAGTCTGGCATGGTTTGAAATACCACAATGATCATGCTAAAGATAAGACAAAACTTTACCCATCGCGAGATCGATCTGGCTAAAAACGACGAATCTGGTTCTAGTATTGTTATGCGTGCCCATTCCTGCCACGTTGGCGGCGCAACAACATCTTGAGACTCTGCTACAATCATATCACGGACCATTACACTCAGTTCTTCACACTTGAGAATGCACAATTCGGTCGTTTGTTTCAAATCCTCCATAATATCACGAAGATGGCGCCAGTTAAACTCAGGTGACGTAGCTTCGGTCACAAGTGCTTGAGTGATCAATGAAGCTTCGCCTACAATTGCAGCAAGTCGCAGGTACAATTTATTCGGAGCATTGTACTTGACCAAAATTTCATGCTTTTGATGAGCACGATTGTCATCCGTGGCGGCTGCTAGATTAATATTTACCGGGGTCGCTACGTGAGCACCAGCCTGAAGTTGCTGAAACTTTTTGACACTTTCTGCATGTTGCTTCCACGCTCGATCAAACTCAGTACCAATGATAGCGAGAGGCATGGATAAGAAGAGCGTTCCCGACATAATGATCATAACAGCAAAACAACGGCTAGCCACATTGCCTTTTGTGGGTGTGATGTCTCCATACCCAATAGTTGCCACAGTTACCACGACAAAGTAGCCTGTAGTGAGGAGATCAGAAAAGCCAGGTATACTACGATCATAACTTGGATCCACCATGTACATGACAACTGAGAAAAAGAGGACAATTTCTGTAAAGAAGATTAGAGCCACCGAAATCGGAGCGACACTCGCACGAATTGCTCGAAGCAATATGTACGTTCCCGAATGATTGCGAGCTAGTTTAAAAATACGCAGAAGTCGACAGAGCCGCATAATGACAAAACTTTTTTCTTTGCCAAAGACGAGATCAATGTAGAAGGGGAGAATAGCTGCAACATCAAACCAGTTGAAAAAATCGCGTAAAAATGGCTTTAAACGTCGTTCGGTAAGATATTTATGTTCGCGCCATAAGGAAGGCCAGATGATGAGACGAATGAGCAGCTCTGGGGTGAAAATGAGGGTGAAAACCAAATCAGCGTCATAGTAACCAATTTCATTCGGAAGTTTGGGGTATTCTGGCTCGGTGCTTTTGTGATTTGGACCGTCCAGTGTCTGCAGGAACAAAACAAAGCAGCTCGTGAAAGCGGCACACGCAATGAGAAAGCTATAGAGTGACGCGCCGCGCGAGGAGGTGGGGTCAACCATAAAGACAAAGATCTTTTCAAACCGACCGAGCGTTGTAGCGTTTTTAATGGTGCCCGATCCAGTTCCTTTGATCATGGACTCAGCATTGAATCCCGAGTTGGCAAACATGTCTGCCGACTCATCCTGTGTATTAAACGTTGGTCTTATAGCTGCGTACAGAGGCATGATAGTAACTGGAAGAGTATCTCGAGAAGGTAAAGCTGCGAGTCTTCGCTACTGATGACGGAGCGGCCTTATGTATCGTGAAACCGCCGGCATTAGAACCGATACAAGTACGTTCGTAATGTCGCGAAATTTCCAAATTGAGCTAATGCTATTTCCAAATTAGGTCTGAAGGGGTGTCGTCCTTCTTCAGAATTATATAAGTTCATGGAACATGAGGGAAGTCCTAGCACGCCTTCTTATCGATGTAGCATCTTGACGGATTCAATTGGCAGTAAATTATTGATGAAAGCGATCTTGGACTAAGACCACCACCTCGTAAAAATACCTGTAGCGTGCGACGTATCGCTCCTCATAATTTACTATCCGAGGAGCATGCACTGGAAACTGCTGGAGTCAAGCATTTAGCATTGTCAATCGTCTTCAATCTGCGCATTGCGTACCCGCCATCATCGAACTTTTGCCAGTCTTGGCTTGCCTTTTAAAGCAACGAGTCTGTTCTGCGAAAATTAATTAGGACACCTGTTAGTCCTGACTCAACCAATCGAGCCGCGTATACTTCGAAACTCGTACGCCGGCTCGCTAGATACTAGAGTCCAATTTAATGTTTTGGACAATTTTTTGTTGCAGCTCTAGTAATGATCGCGTTCAGAATTTTGGGTGGAACTTTAAAGCTTGCAGTGTTACAGCAGACGATGACACTCCACGAGATTACACACTACGTAGAAGAAAAGAGGTAGCACCAGATTGTCAATCTGAGCCGTGGCGGCCTCTAAAAACGTCGTCAATAAAACTGCAACAGTGAGCAAAATCACCTTAAAAATCGCACAACAACATATCGTCAGGAACTTCCACCATACAACCGGTTTGCACAATATATACCTGCATATAATCTGCTTCGAGCAATACTCGCAAGCGATAGTTCTGAAGCAATACTGACGCAAAGAACATCGAGGTGAATACTGCAGTAGATCCTTCCACAGTTTTGTTGCCAAAGATTCTGCAGCTGCCGACACTTGAACCTACAAGAGCCCCCATTGCATCTCCAATTCCCAGTGCCACAATTCCAGCGTTTATAATAAGAATAGAAGGCGAGTCAAAAGATGGCGCAAGCCATAGCGGCAATGCACAACCGAGCAGTAAATAGGAATGAGTCAAAATCACTCGACCAGATTCGCGATAATCAATAAATGATCTCATGAACACAGCAATGGAACGACCAAAAGGTGGTAGCGACAAGGCACGCGCGCATTCCACAATCAGAAAAACGCTTATCGCAACACCGTAACTCAACGATAGCATGGGAACGTCAATAATCGATGCGGGTCCCAGCATGACAGCAATTAAAACGTGAAACAATTTTCTTGCCACGATGTTACGGAGCTTGAGGTAATTAGAGATAGTTCGAATCAATGGAACCAATACTAGAAGACAAATAGCCCAGTAAATCATCAGTCCGATACGTGGTGGCAGCATTGATGAGCTGTTTGACTTGATGAGAAACTTTATTAACCATACAAACGGATTCTTTGTTTGTAATAACAAACAGCTCCATGGATACACCACACCGCCCACCATCGCCGCAATTATGAGTACACATACCACGGTATTAGTGAACGACATTGGCTTGGCAATCGTTCTTGGCATGGGCGTTCCGTGCGCTCGTAATAGTGGAATCAAAGCCATACACACGAGGAGCGATCCTAGCATTCCAACCTCCAGTGCCAAGACATAATCTGGCCGATCTACACTTGTGATTCGCCAGGATTGCAGTACTAAGGCCATCAAATTGTTTTCACTAAGCTACATAAAAAGGATGAATCATTATTCTAGGAGCTGGGTAGCAATCAAATCGTAGACGTACTTTTGTCATCGTGACCACTAAAAGATCGAAAGCGCATAGTCCAATACCTTGCGCAACAAGAATTGCCTCTCCTATCGTGAATGAACGAGGTAAAAGCTTCAAACCTGTGGCTAATACAGCTGCTGTAATAATTCGTGCAGTTGCAGCCAGTAGAAATCGCCACGCGGACTCGATTGGACTTAGCAAACCGAACAACATCGGTAGCAAAATGACATCAACTAAAGCATTGACACGAAGTGAAGTAAGTGACTTAAAGACTGCAATCTTGAGCAGCACACTGAATCCAAACGATATTGTGACCCACGAGTAAAAGAAATTGAATCTTGAAGAAAATTTGCTTTCGAGATCGACTTCGTTTAATAAGCGACTTAGAAGCACTAGAGGAGGAAGCAGACAACCCACTACTAGCCCTGTATCGCGCTCATTCCTGCAAAGCGCTTGCAGTTGTTGGTAGATCACATTTGGATGAAATATTGATATTAGGACAGCACTCCCGCCTAAGACATTTAGGCTGAACAGCACATGCGACATTGTGTTGGTCTGAAGTAGTCGCTGCTCCCATGATACCGAGACCATCGTATTAACCTTTTCCTGTTCTTTCTGATGTGTTAGAATTGTGACCCACGCGGTTACTAGCAATAGAACCATCGCCTCCGTCACCAGGGCATAGCTCTTTGCGCTCTTGTGGAACATTTTTCGAATAAGCCTTGACAAATATTCAGGTGTAGTTTTTAAAAATCTCATGAAAATTTAAAGTTATGACGTTAACACTAGACACAGATTATCTAATGCTCTGTGACGTTGGCTAATGACTACATAGTTGATAACCACTTGGTCCGCAAAATACTGGACTGATGAAGAAACCAGCACGACCAAGGCTATATCCTCGTCGACCTTGTCCGGATGCGTCTAGTGTAAACTAATCTGACGAGGCTAAACCTTCTGAGTCAAAAGGTACGCTAGTTACTAAGGGTGTATGAGAAATACAACCAATCGTTTTTAAACTTCGAGCCATCCCAACTGTGAATCATCGCTTAGCATGTGAGGGACTTCGAATTTCGTCAATAGAGTAGCAATTCATTTTGCACAGAAGAATCTTTGACTTATAGATTCGGCATTAACAAACGCATAGATGAAAAGCTGAAGCGTGAATGAATGCGGACTCGAAATATCAACGCTCTCTTTACGTGAAGCCAACGCCAGCCTTGCCGCACCAGGTGGTACATGTCGTCAATCAATGCCCAGATCTGGATAAATCGTATCTTCTGCACAAGTAAATTCGAGCTTAATCTCGTATTTAACCTCAAAAACATTTATAGTCTGACTCATGTCGGCTGCGAGATGATAGCGCAATTGGCGGTCCAAGTCCAGTAGTGGATACAGCTTCCCTTAAGGTATTGACCAGCTGTAAGAATGCGGTAAGAAAGCCTCAGAAATGTCTCAAACAGCCATTCGCGAAAGTATTGCTTTAAAACATTTCTTCTTTTGAGGGACAAAAATTTTCTGGCTCCAGACAAGAGACATTGAAAAGACCAGAAATTTGGCCCCTTTCAGGCGGAGTGAAGCTTGTTATGTTAGTAGTCTTCAATCTTGGAGACCGTAAGCAATAATGGATACTTAATTGCAGCTATATCGTTCTCAATAAAGATATGCTCAAGCGACAGGTGTCCTCACCACCAAATATGTGGTTAGAATTGTGCACTCAAAGAATGAACGGATAACTAGCAAACTATGTCTATAAACTCAAGTATATCTTGCCGGGGTGGCGGGAGATTCTCTTTTAAATGAATCTCCGTACGAATATGACTCACACCAAAACTTTAAACGTCCGACCAATCTCATATAATGAAATGCGCTGCATTAAATTTGGTATGCGTTGCTTAATGCAGAAAATAGCTTTCGTGCTAAGAAGGCCGATTAGGGAGCGGGATGTAACAACTTTATGAACACCCACGGCAATGATCCTCGGACAGACTCGGGTGAAAGAGTAACAATTTAGCTGTCAACCAGCGATAGAAGCGATTTCGTGGCAGTATCAAAGATTTGCACCCGTCTGATGTTTGGACTGCCATGGATTTGCGTCCGCAGCTGATCGACAGCTCGGTCATCTCTCCGTCTACCTTCCATGGCATTACCAAACACTTGAAAGGCTCAAGTATTTGACACTGCCACGGACTTGTATCTACGGCTGGTTGGTATCTAAATTGGTGTTTTCTCCCATCTTAGCTAGTTAAGTGGTTTGGAAGGCAGACTCTCACTCAGGGCTGACCGACGAGATCCTCGTGAGACTTAGTCGGCGTATAGCAGACTTGTGCGGAGGTTCTGAGCTCAATTGTACCTCGTGGCAGATGGATTATTCAGAACTCAGTTTCTGAAGTTTAGTTCTCGGTCAGAACAGTGGGGTTCAATACACAGAGTGATAAACTCCAATCGCCGCCCCGGGCTTCGTAAGGTCATGGATTATCTTGAATAGTCGAGAATGTTGTACACCACTCACCTTTCTAATGAAGCTTTAGTGGGTCATGAGCCTACCCTATGTCAATTTAGTGCTTCAGGGGTTGGGCGGTAAGATCAAATGTGTGCCGCGGTCTCTAAGATTTGATCCGAAGTAGACGAGTCAGAGCGACTACGTGGTCGCCTGGGCAATTTCTGTGAATACAGGCGACTGCAAGTCGCAAGTAGAAGGGCCAAGTCATGATTTTGTTGAGGTAAGTCCATCCTTGCCATACTGTAGCAGTACCGAACAGTCTGTGTTACACTAACCATCCAGAGCAGTAAAGCTTAAGCGTGTCGTGGTGGAAAGTTTTAGTATTCGTAAGTGAAGTAAGCGGAATAGTTTCAGGGATGTTAAGCTCACCTAAGTTAACTCGGCAAACGCTCTCGGTTAGCTTTAAGAGTTAAACCTAATGGTTGTGTGCAAGAAATTACAAGTCGGTGGTATCACCGAGTTGGCATTCTTAGCACCCAATGGAGGAGCTGGCTCGTCTAGCATCCGCTATGGAAAAATCCAATTTGAGCGCGATATTTAAAACGGCAAATTTCAAGATCCTACCGAAATCTTCAATTCTTGTCAATATATATATGAACGTAGAAAATGGAAGTCGGATGAGGACATCCGCATCAAACACTTGCAATGTGTACTCGAGAGTATGCTCCGTTTGCCAAAACTTTTTGTGCACCATCGTAATCTTCATTCTGATGCTTTAGTGATAAAGATGCTCTACGGGCATGTAGTGTCTCTGTCTCATGAGATTTTGTGAAAATGTCCTGACCCATGCTCAAATATAGTGCAATAAAGCTGCCATGAAACGGCTTCTCACCAATCTCCTTCAACGGGATGGCAAAGGTGCTGGGTCACGAACAAGATGGGGACCAAAAACACTATAGAAGCAAGTCTCTTGGGTGCCTCAATGCTGATTCTTCTGTGTTCAAAATGACGTTTATAGATTGTCTGTGACTACATGGCAATTGCCGCAGGCTGCGCTTTACTCCAAACAAATAATACTGATCATACCGTTGCGTTCGAGTCGCGCCAGCAAAAAGCGGCAGCTAAATAATCATCCAATTCAAAATATTAAATCGTTTGTGATGAAGTTTGCTCTCGCATATATTATATTCACTTGCAAAGTCACTTGGGATTTACACAGCCCATCACGGCAACATCAACACCACATCTCTTGCAAAGAGCGGCACGATGTTTTCCCGCTAAATTATATCTGGAGGGTAGATGTAAGCCAGGTCAGTTAAATATGGTGGCGGATAAGCTGTTGCGCCGCCCCGATTATTAGCTATGGTAAGTCATTAAGGCATACGTAAGGTTAAATAACGTACAAACTCTGGCCTACTCTATAAAGATAGCTTGGTCAACCTATCGTTTTTAAGCCACAAAGTGACTGCATTCTTGTTGAAGACAGCGTAATATCTTATTTATTTATTATAGCTGAGCCTTTTGAGAGCATCAATGCGGTTCTTCAACTAATATTGTGACAGCTGATTACATCGCTGAAGTTAAGAAAATATCCAAGAAATGATTTATGTCAGTATTTGCCGCATTCTAGGATTATTCAAGAGATAGGTATCCGTGAGAGCTCTGTCGCGAAAAGGTCACATTCGGTCGTGGAAAGGTCACATTCTGTCGTGATGCTGTGTTTGATTTATATATTAGTCGTTCACCGCACCACGACGGAGCGTGGACAGCTTAATGTTTGAGATGTCCGTTTATTTAGAGGCAAAATGTGCGCCTAGAAGTCGCTTGGGGAAAGCTTTCCAGCCCCGCAGATCACCACCCTTTATAAGTACAGCTTGTTGCCAGAGCTGGATCTATAAATGGAACTATGCTCTGGTGTTAAGTACCGAACAGTCCGACTCAATTCGCGCGCTGAGTACAAAACCATTTCAACCCACCTGGATTACGACTTTATCTCCAGCTTCAGCGAAGAAGACATTAAGTTATCGTCCACTTCTTAAGAAGGAAAGAATGACGTAGACTGAGAGGTGAAAGCTCATTACTGATATAGGGACACTTTCTTCATATTCATGAATCTGCTAGTACAGATGCCTGCCAAGTCCTGAAACTTCACAAAACTGGTCCTACTTGATAGCAAGGATGGCGTTGGGCTGCGTGACCTCCTCTAAGAGAAGAAATGGGGAGCGCAAAGTCATAATTAGCAACGGCACCGGGTCATTTTTGCCAAAGTGGGACTTCGAGCTCTCATCAGCTCTTGAAGCGAGAGTTACTTTTAACCTCACCAGATATACCGCTGACCACCTTGATTACTCCCTAGCACACTTTTGAACCACATAGAGTGAACCACCTTTTCTCGTTGAGCAGAGTCAGCGTACTTCAGCTTGAAGCAAGAAACATCAACTTGTGAGTCATGTGTTTCTAGACGGGCAAACTCGTCTTTCTGAGACAATCTCATCTCGTAAGTGGCGGGAGACCCCATCATGAGCTCCAAGGCTGGTGTATTAGCGCTCTATGCCGTTGGAACAGGTAAAGTGTTCACAACTTGCGCAAACGCGAGGCGAAGCGCAGTGAACGCCTCACCTTCAAAAGGTTTTGTTTGAGAAGGAATAGAGTTAGTTTTTTGTAAGGATGCACGTCTCGGATCAAGTCTTTAGAGCGCCTCATATGCTTATCCGAGATGACTCGTAGGTCAGTCACCACAGGGCTAAGCCCTAAAGAAAGTTGAAAAGAGAATTTGGATGTGACGATGTGAAAAAAATGATGCTAGTTTGTGCAGCGGGGAGATGAATCCCTGGTGCAGTGGGTGGTCGCCGATCTATAATTCTGTGTTCAGTTGTGTGATAAAGCGACATAACTGCGTCCACTGTGGCATTGCCATTCTGGAGCAGGAGGGTGCACCGGAGTGCTTATTCCATTGCGGTATACGTTCGCATCACACTTTTTTGTCTCGGACCCATAATAACCTCATAAAAATGATAAAGTATCCTGGTAATTATTCGGTTAGAATGAGGCAATGGAACGTTGCAAAGGGAGATCAATGGATTATGTGTACTGCTTTTCTAGCGCTATGCAGTACACAGTCTTTATTAAATGTGAACTGCATTTGTAGAGTTATATCTAGGGCCACTTTAATTAGACTAAAAATGTTATGTCTGACCAAACAAGCGTAGTGTTACCTTGAACGCTTTCGGCTCGACACATGAATGCTTAACAACCACGTGGCGGGTTTGAGTGTCGACCAACGGACACGTAACCCAGATCCTTTCGTGTACACACTACTTTACTCAAATCAAAATAGGGCTTTAAAAAGTAAAGCGGGATCACACTTATACTCATCCATACAACTTACTATATGAACTTATATTTTTTAACGTATTTGGCGGGGCATAAAGCCCAAGTGCCCCTGTGATCGCTGCACTTGGAGTCAAATCGGTCGATGCCACGTTTCATTATTACGATACTGCGGAGCTTCGCTCTGAGTCAAAGAACAATGATTTGTACCATAACGGGGTACGTCTCCTCCGCCAATACGTGGACCTCACTGGGGTCACATACTGTAACTTTTGCTTTCATAAAGC